CAGTGGCCTAGTACCGATACTCCAAATAGTCTCATACATTCTTTGCAGTGTCCATGGGACAAAGTTGAATCTATGTGGACTTTGAGAAGGTATTTCAGATCCAAGTAATAATAATATGATTCTTACTGTCCCAATCCTGTAAGGCTTTCCGAAATTCCATAATTTTTTTTTTTTTTTTTTTTTTTTTTATGTGGGAGGCTTCTTAGATGTTCCGGCAGGATCTTCGGGTGCCGTAAAATCATCGGTAACATACATCCACAGTTTTATACCAATAAAAGAACTTTTCAAAGATCCCACAAGTCATAGTTATCACCAGTCAATATAACATGAATTCCAAATGCTTCTACACGATCCACATTGATATCCATATTATGTATTTAAAAGCAGGATAAATAAAATATATTTCCCCAAATTTTAAAATATAAATAACCAATTTCCCAAATCTTACAAATTTGTTGCTACTTGCCAGTGAACAGGTGGCACTAGAGGACGGGTGCTGGTGCGGTCACCGTTGGTCAAACGTAGGACGGTTGGGCACGGACAAGGGGGCGTGAACGAGTGTAGGGCAACAGCGACCTGGATGGCAGTCAAAGATTGAGGTCGGGCGTGGTTGGTCTTGCGCCAGCGATGAAGTTGGGCGCTGGACGACGGTTAGAAGCTATTCGAGTGCGGGGGAGCGACGCAACATGGAGGTCCGGTGTGGCGGCGTCATCGTCTAATCTGGTGTGATGTCAGCGGTGGGAGAAAGGTGCACGCGCCAGCAACGGGGACGTAAACTTGGGCACTGGCAGTTCTCAATGAGGCGGAGCCGATGGTGGCGGCGGTGACTTCCGGCGGTGGCTAACCGGCGGCGAACAGAGGGCAACGGCGAAGAAAGAAAAAATTAAATTTAATTTGACTCTAATACCATATTACACTATTTTATATATGTGAATTGTATATTTGAAATAGAATTACAACATGCCTATGTATAGAACGAGTTATAGAATACATAGATATATATATACCATATATGTTTGAGGAAACAATATATATACCATATATGTATAAGAAAATAAATATTAAAAAGTTATAAGGATGTCAATTTCTTTTGGGGCATGTATTGCGTAGATGTTGCAATTTTAGGCCAGACTCAATCGATTTATGCAAGACTGGCCTGACCTATTATTATTCCATGTTGGCTCGCCCCGATTTCAAATCGGGCCTGGAAGCTTGGGTCCAAAACCCGGTTCAAATTGTTTTGGGTCGGGCCAACCTGAATTTTATTATTATTGTTTAAAAAATATATTTTGAATTTTTTTATTGAAAATAAATTGTATTAATTTAAATAAATATAATTATGATAAAATAATAGTTTTATTGATAATTAAAACTTTTAAAATTAAATATATAATTATTATTTTTATTTTATTAAATATTTCAAAATATTCAAAGAAATTTTTTTTGATAAATTGTGTGGGGCAAGCAAAATCCGGTTCCTACAGGTTTAGGCACAATCTGAATTTTCAACCGTATTGGGCTGGCTGGTTCGAAAAATTTTCAAGCCTATTTTTTAAGTACAAAGTATTTATTTTTTGTGTCTGCTTGGATCGAGTTTTTAGTCCATACTTATTTTTGTAAGCTATAATCAACTATACTTATTCTAGGATACAATTTCGTGTATGTTATGCATATATATATATATATATATACACTTATGAATGATAGTGTTAGAAGAGATAATCGAAGCATGGTAGGGCTGGTTTTCTTTTTTTTTTTCTTTACTATCTTTGATTGTTCAATTAATTATAAATAATGTTGCTAGAAATCCCATCCTCCACGGCTAGAATTCTTTATGATATATTTAAGTGTTGTACAGATGACTTCACATTCTTTATAATCGAGACATGGTAGAGCTGGGGTTTGGAATTGATTCAAGAGAAACTTAATTATTACTTGTATTATTAGAATTTTTAATATATTTTTAGGAAGTGGATCCCCTGTTGCTAGACAAACCCAACAGAGTAATGATTTAATTTTAGCTGCCATGGCCATCGTTGTTCTGACAGTGATATTTATTCTTCGGCATATGTAGGCTTGGTGATGGGTATAAAGCTATCGGTGGTGGATGGCAGATCGTTGGTATTGAGCGACGCGATGGTGGGTGGTGGCATGTCGTTATAGTAGTATAAGAGGATTGAGTGGAAGACGGTGGTGATGGTGATTAAAAGAGTAGTGAGAAAGGCTGTATTGACAACTGATGTCGTGTTAAATAATATAATATAAAATGATCCACGTGCACGTGTGAATGCTGAAATCAATTAAACAAAATGTTAATATATGTAATTTACAATAATGTAAGTATTTTTATACAACAATGAATGCTGAGTTTTTTCTACGCCTTAATTCTAATTACAAATACTTATTTATGTACATACTCACAATAGAAATTCTAAACATCATATAATTTTGTGAATTTTATTATATGTCAATCAATGGATCATATTTATATTAGATGTTGAAAAGCGTCAAACTATATAATGTATATTGAATAATAAAATATTATCATAAATTTTAGAAAATACTTAGTTTTGTATCGAATTGCATAATATAGTATAATATGCTCCTCATGCACATGTAAATGCTAAATTCAAATGAATCGGATGACTTCTTTTAATTAACAATAATTTGAGTATTTTTATATAACAATAGCCGTTAAATTTTGTTTTTGCATCTTAATCCTCACTGCACCCTATTATGTGAATACTACTTCATTCTATGTCAATCAATGAATCATGTTTATATTATATGCTGAAAAACGTTAAACAATATATTGTCTATTGAATATTAAAATACTATCGCACATTTTAGAAAATATTGAATTTTGTATTGGATTGTATAATATAGTATGGAATGTTTCCCATGCACATGTAAATACTAAATTTAAATTAAAGAAATGCTAATTTATTTTAACTAATAGTAATTTAAATATTTTGATACAAAAACAATCGGTACTACATATTATCCAGATTCTTAACCGATGCAAAAGAGATTATAATAATTTAGCTGCTTTCCAGATCTTTAAAATGAGTTTCTTTAATGCATATATATATATATATATATATATTTGCCATTTTGTAAATTATATATTTAACATATATGGATTTCATACTAAATGAATTTTTGTCTTTTTTTTTTAAAAAAAATAACAAAATAAATATATATATATATATAGAGAGAGAGAGAGAACTTTATAAATTATATATTTTTTTGTCATATGTATGGTCTCTTGAAAGATTTTTATAATAGATTAAAAAAAAAAATAGTATTATATTGGTGATGATTTTGTGTAAAGTAAAAATTATCTTTTGGTTTAGTAAAGTCAAAAGTAAAATATGCAATGATACTTGAATACATACAGATAAATATGAATAAATTGATAATTGAGTGAAAATTTAGACTATAATGAAAAGAAAAAAAATTACAATTCAAAATAGAAAGCTAGACAATATGTATCGAATAGAGCATATAATAATAATAATAATAATAATAATAGTAATGTCATTTTATAATATCTTCTAACTATTTGATTATTTTTTTATAATATTTTATTATAGTTTTTTTGATCTTGTTTTGATATCTTACTATGGATGAAAATAATCAAAATTTTGAATATTTTTGATATAATATAAATAAAAACAATTTTCTGTCCCAACTTTATTTATTGTTTATAATAATATGAAATTCATATTTTTTTTAAAAAGAATCTACATATCAACATACTTTGCACTAAGAGTACAATAAAATACTTTATAAAAAATAAACACAATGTCAAATGAGTGCTTTCAAGTTTCGAAGAAGAGGAGAAAAATAAAAAAAAATACAAGTCCACATTTATACGAAAAGAATATGAAAGTAGAATGAATAATATAAAATTGAATTGGGGGATCAAAATTGTAGCAACTTATAAATTGAAAATGTGGGAGAGCAACTTGCATGATTTGGATTTCACAACACATTGCCCCACCACCACAATTTTTAATGAAATTGTACTTTAAATCACTCACTATATAATGGATATGGTACAAAATCAACATTTTTTTCTCGAGCTTGCTCTTGTCTTTCTTGCCACAGTTGCTCATATCCTCGGCAAGCTAATTATGAGTGAAGAAGAAGGTTTTTTGGTTCATTATTGTCGAGAATTATACCTTTGTTTGAAGATGAAGATAGAGATGAAGTTGTGAGCTCAGGGTAAATAACCAGAGTTAAGATCAAGAGCTAAGGGAAATTATTGCGGACGGGGGAATTTGGGTGAATTTAGGGTTCACGTCGCTTTATTTGCAATTTAAATATATATATATATATATATTGTTAAATTTTCATTTGATTACCCAATGAACGAATGCTGTGTGGCCTTCTTACATTGGAGCGTGTGGAACTATCCGTCGTGTGGACATGACACATAGCTGGAGTACAAAAAGTGCGATATTTGATAACGTATAGTATATATATTATGTTGACCGACATAAATATGAGATAAAAGTGATAATTTGAAATATATGTGTAAATATATATATTTTTTAAAATTTTTCCATTTGGTATAACATAAATAAATATTCACATGTAATATTTTGAGTGATAATTTATTAAACAAAAGTAAATAAATATACTCTTTCCCTCCCACTTCAAATTATATTTTTGAAATTTTATAGTAAATTAAAAAATAATAATATTTTAGTGGATAGTGCAAGTGTGGGAGAGGTTTTGATATTTTCATCATTTGATATAAAGTAATTGCATATATAATTATATATTTTTAATTTAGATAAAGATTAAAGATATTTTGAAATTAATATACAATTGTATTTAAGTAAAATAGAAAAAAAAATATTTTGAATAAGATATACAAAAATGGTAAAAATGATAATTTAAATTAACATTGAGACTGTATATGTTTAGAAAAAAATTAGTGAATAGTTTGAAAATAAAATTAAAAATATAAGTAAATAGTGAAAATGTCATTAGTTTTGGGAAGACCAAGAAAGCCAATTGAATCTATACCCTTGCGAGTACAACTTCATCCATGCTAATTCGATAACTCTTATAGGATTCGTGAAAACGGTTTTGATAATACAACAAACCGTTTTGAATCTATACACATAAATGATTTCTGACATAGTCCAACGTAGTATATATGGCCTTAGAGCTCGGCGAGATCCTTTTGGACAAAGAAGCAGCCGGAAGGGCCATCATCCGGCAGCAATGCGAGCTTCACAGGGCCGGCGGCGCCTTCTTCAAGCGACATTGTCCCCGTGTTTTTGTTAATATCAGTTTTCACATAACCCGGGCACACGGAGTTTACCCGCAAGGTCGGGTATTGCTTAGCAAGAAGCTTTGTGTAGGCATTTATGGCCGCTTTAGAGACTACGTATGCACCAATATAATTAGGCCAACCTTTGGCTTCAACTCTCCCTTCTTTGAAATCTTCAAGGAACTCACTCACAACTTTGTCGATTCTCTCTTCCGTCAAGTTTTCGTCGTCGCTCAAGATCCCTTTTGCCCATTCGCTCCCTATGTACTAAGAAGAAAAAAATATTAGAGTTTTGAGACTTGATGATTATGTTGGTGACCTATAACACGGTACCTCAAGACTCCCCGCTGAAGATGATACGTTTACGATTCTTGGCGAGTTTGAGAGGCGGAGAAGTGGAAGAAGAGCTTTTGTTGTCCTTTTGTAGCCATAGTAGTTTGTTTGAATCGCTTGCGCCGCTAATTCGTAGGTATCATTTGCAATGCTACTCCAATCTATATGAATTTTGCCTGTCTGTAAGAGCAGAGAAGTTTTGTTTTAGGACATAACTTTAACGCGATGTGGTCATTGCACATATGAACTTACAGCAATATTAGCAGCCATAGTCGTAGCCCCGACGGGGTCTAGAACCTCCCACTTGACGTCGGACCCGAGGACCGCTGCATTGTTAACCTGCAGAGCTTTGTCAACAAAGATCTATATGTCCTAACTATTAAGAGGGAATTCTTAATGTAGGGTGTACCAAGATATCAAGCTTTCCGAATTGGGACTCGATGAATTCAGACAGGGCAGTTACTGAATCATTCTCGGTCACATCTAGTCGATGAAAGATGACATGATCAGAAAGGCCAGACGCGGTGAGCTTCTCGACAGCTTGAAGGCCTCTGTCTTCGTCCCGAGATGTCAGCACCACCGTGATGCCCTGAGACGCCAGCTGCCGACATATCTCCAAACCGATCCCCTTGTTCGCGCCGGTGACAACTGCATACCTGCGAGCGCAACGGTAATAGGCCTACTTTTATGCCATGTAATGTAAGAAAAAGAAAAGTATGCAAGTGATGAGAAACGCCTTTCGTAGGCTTACCTCTTCGCGGCTCCAGCCATGAATGAAGATAAGATTCGATTCGATTCAATGCGGCAGTCTACAATTGACCTGCATTTAAAAACTGTGGCTCCAAGTCGATTCACATTGGTAGAAATTTAGTTTCTTTGTTGTCTAAATAAATGTTTGCAAAGATAATTTATTGAGGGATTTTGAAAGTCATGGTTACGGGTTCACGTCTCAAACCATTAGACAATACCGAGATTTCTGTAATATTGTGGACCCACCCTTGCAACTTTATTACGTAAAATATATATACACGTGATTATGTGCATATATATATATATATTTTGATATTTGTATGTGTAGGCACCTTTCTTATTGTATATGTTATCGGTTTGGTGTGGGTGGGCCCCGAGTAAAATGAAATTTTATACTATACTTTTCGTTTTAAATTAAAAATATATACTTAGTATTCACGGTTCGTCTTTAAGAATTACAATTACTTTTTATATGATTGTATTTAACATTAAAAATATAATTATATTTGTATATTTATTTTACAAAATATCCTTTTATTAGTTTTATAAGATAATAATAGAAATATTTTTGTAATTTTTTCTTAATTTGTACTATATTTTGATATAATAATAAATATTTAAATATTAATACGTAAAAGATAAATGAGACATTTATCTTAGTTAAGGCTTGTTTTATTTTTTTTAATTTCAAAAATACATTTTTTCTCTTACAAAATATTCCATCATAAATTATTTTAATATCAAGTTCAAACTAAATTTTTCTAAAATCTATCAAAAGAAACATACCCTAAGTTATTTTTTGTGGAGCGAATTAAATATAATAATACTTCATCCATCCCAGATTTATTTATCCGTTTGTTTTTTTTCACGAAACTTTAGAAATATTAGTATTATATTATGATGTAGTAGATTTAAAGTAAAAAGATTAAACTAACCTTGTATGATATAAAAGTAATAGCATTTGTGTAATATATTGTAAATTGGAAGGATATTTGTAATGTTAGATAAATAGTACAATTATTAAAAAAAAAAATATTTTGTTACGGGACGAATCAAAATTGAAAAATAGATAGATTCTTAACGAATGGAGATAGTAGTATTTTATTATTTGGTAAACTGTTTTTTTAGTCCCGTAATTGAACCCTTATCATTTTAGTCCTGTAAGTTGAGCCTGTCGCAAACTAGTCTCATAAGTGAAATATTTTCGTTGTTTTAGTCCTCCGGCGCCGGAGACGCCCGCGTGGCTCGCGCGGAAGCCACGTGTCCGCCAGTTGTCCTACTAGGTCAGCGACACTTGGCGGACACAGATTTTATTTTATTTTTTATTTATTTTTTTAATTTTTTAATTTTTTTTCAATTGGACCAATTAAAAAAAAATAAAAGGCAAATAAAATTTCAAAAACAAATTCAAAAAAAAATTCAAAAAATAAAAAATGAAAAAAGGTAATAAAATCCACGTGTCCGTCAGGTGTCGCTGACCTGGCGGACACTAGCCTTCGGCGAGCCACGCGGGCGTCTCCGGCGCCGGATGACTAAAACAACAAAAGTTTTTCACTTATGGGACTAATTCACGACATACTTCACTTACCGAACTAAAATGATAAGGGAATCTCTAGTTATAGGACTAAAAAAAACAGTTTACCCTTTATTATTTAGTAAAAATATAAGATGATATATTTGTTCCATGAGTAAAAAAAACAAAGATAATTTTATAAAAAGTTAGAAGATATTTATATATTGTTTATTTTTAATATAATAAACATTGATACTTGTAAGTGAGATTAACAAAAATAATAAAATAAATATATTCAATGTAATGATACCCACTAAATGAAAATTTATTTTTTCTTTAAAAAAATAAAATGCGGAGCTCAATAGAAATTATATTGTATATCAATAATAATAATAATTGTTGGATTAAATAGGTATTGCGAAAGTAACATCTACCGTGAAACCGAATCGAGGATGAATTATCTTTTCGAAAATTAAATACGCCCCAGTAGTGCCTCCGGTGGCAGGCGTCTAACCTAAAAATAAAACGGTTTCTGTCTCCAATTAGAGTGGCACCTCTAATCGTTGGAGCTCCGGCGACAAAACGAGAGAAAAACTGAGTTGGAAAGGTTGTCGGAAAGCTAGAAGAGAAGAGAAGAGAGAAAGAGGAGATAGATGGTGTTGTTGGTGTGTTTTTAGAATGAACGGGGGAGACCTTTTATATAGGCGTCTCCACTCGGCGAAAATGGCAGGGGATCAATTACGATCATAATTACGACCTTAATTATCGATGTAATTTATTATAAGTTTAAACTTTCCGTTTGAAGCGGTCGTAATTGATTCTAATTACAAACTTTCTGTTTGTAACGATCGTAATTTATTCTAACTTCAAACTTTCCGTTTGAAACGATTGTAATTTATTCTAATTTCAAACCTTCCGTTTGAAACGATTATAATTTATTCTAATTTTAATCATCCCGTTTGAGATTATAATAAATCTATCCAACGGATAATATTTTATCCAAATAATACTGCGACTTAGGTCATCTAGCCGGGTTTAATTTGGGTTGCACAATTTGGTTTGTCTCGAGACAGGAAAAATAGTCAAAATATTAACCAAACTCCATATACAATAAATAAATAATATTTATTTATTTCTTCCAAATTAATCTAATTAACTTGGTACACCGGCCCGTCCCATTTTCACTCACCAAATAATCGATTGCAAAAGAACCGATTATCAAACAATCCTCCACATGAATATAAATGCCCATAAATGACAGAAGCTCAGCTCAATCCCTGTGAGACATTGACACATCGGGATAGGTAGCTTTTAACTTTGAACGTGGCCTAGTTGACGTGATGCATTGAACTGTTCCACCTCTGCGTGCACTTAGTCAATAATATTGACGTGTCGCTATCTCAGTCTCAACTTTGTTCTCACGTTTTGATCCATTTTGGCCATGTATCTCGTCTTTGGATTCATAAGTGTTTCATTTGAAGCGGCTCACACTTCACACTTAAATAGGTAATCCTATCTCAAGGTATCTAACTTACACATTTAGGATCATTAAGAGTCATTGACTCAACCTCACCACTTTGGCACATTATAACACTCATTGCTTTTCAGGGAATTGTCATTGAGTGTTCGTGCCAAACTCTCACAACTTAGTTTTCCCATTTAGCCAAAGTTTGGGATTTCCAAGTGATTTGGTTGGGTTACCATTGCAATTGTCTCTATCTTGTGGATTTCAAACCCATTTTCTTTAGTAGTTTGTACATTTGATCTCTCTACAACCCTTTGGTTAGCGGATACTAGGTTTTCTATTGATTTTACATATTCAATAGTCAAAACCCCACTGGTGACCAAATGTCTTACAGTGTTATGTCTACGTCAGATATGTCGAGATTTACCGTTGTAAATTTCATTCTTAGCCCTTGCTATTGTAGCTTGGCTATCGCATTGAATCATTACGGGAGGTACTGGTTTAGTCTAGTATGAAATATCATCCATGAACTTCCTCAACCATTTGGCTTCTTCGTCAGCTTTGTCCAAGGCAAGGAACTCCGATTTCATTGTGGACCGTACAATACATGTCTGTTTTGTGGATTTCCACGAAACAACTCCTCTTCCAATCGTAAATACATATCCACTTGTAGACAGTGAGTCTTTTGCATCGGATATCCAATTGGCATCGCAGTACCCTTCGAATTCCGGTTGATATTTCGCATAGTGTTTGTCAAAATACAGAGTAAATTTAAGATAACTTAATAATTTTACTAGTGCTTTCCAATGTTGATGATTGGGTTGCTAGTGTATCGACTTAGCTTGTTTACAGGGAAAGCCAGGTTAGGCCTTGTACAATTTGTTAAGTACATTAGGCTCAAGTGTACGCTGAGGTCCATTGAGGTTTTCACTAGAGTGTTTTCGTAGGCATTGATTTTTCTCAATATTTTTTCCACATAGTGGAACTAAGTCAGAACAATACCTTCGTCTTGTCTGAGAATCTTCATTCTGAGGATGACGTCAGCTAGCCCCAAATCTTTCATGTCGAAGTTACAACTCACCATGCATTTGACCTAATTGATCAGACTGATCTCTTTAGCCATGATCAGTAGGTCGTCTACATATAGACATATTATGATAAAACCGGAAGGTGTTTCTTTGATGTAGTCACACTTGTCACACTCATTTATTTTAAAACCGTTTGATAACATAATATTATCAAATCTCAAGCGTCATTGTAAAGGTGCTTATTTCAGCCCGTACAAAGACTTTATCAGTTTGAATACCATTTTCTCTTGAGCAGGAACGACATATCCTTCCGGTTGTTCCATATATATCTCTTCTTCTAATTCACCATTTAGAAAAGCATTCTTCACATCCATTTGGTGAATCTCAAAATTGTTCAAAGACGCGATCGCAAGAAACATTTGAATTGATGTTATCCTGGTTACTAGTGAATATGTGTCAAGGAAATCAAACCCTTCGGTTTATCTATACTCTTTTATTACGAGACGAGCTTTGTATTTGTCAATAGACCCATCAGCCTTGAGTTTCTTTTTCAAAATCCATTTACACCCTAGTGGTTAGCAACATTCGGGTAGGTCAAATAACACCAAAGTGTTATTATGCATTATTGAGTCTATTTTACAATCTATTGCTTCCTTCCAAAAAGGAGCATCGGGACTAGATAGTGCTTCCTTGATCGTTGTTGGATCATTTTCTAACATATATGTAACAAAATCCAGACCAAAGGTTTTCTCGACCCTTGTCATTTTGCTACGCATAGGCTCTGAAGCCTCTTGATCAGGGCTATTGACCATTTGTCTTTTTACACCCCGTAGTTCTTCATTTACGAAGTTTGGGTTGGACTGCATCCTTTCCTTACAAGGGTAGATATTTTCAAAGAATGTGGCATTCCTTGATTCTATCGTAGTTCCCTCAGTCATCCCAAGAATTTCCAATTTGTGAACTACGAAATGATAAACACTACTGTTTAGTGTGTATCCGATAAATATGCAATCTACCATTTTTGGGCCGATAGCGACTTGCTTTCGTTACATAATGCTTTGAACGGGGCCACATATTTGCCACCTCTATCACT